TGAAGAAAAGAAGAAAGGTCGTTTCCAAAGATAATCAGGTGCCACCACCAGAAAAGCCAGGGAGAGGGCAGTGGTTTCCAGGTTGACACAGAGATCTGGTCTATCTACCTGCTCCTCTCCACCTCAGAGGATGCCCCACCTTCCTCCCACCACCTACCCCAGGCACCAGATCCTGCTAGTGCTGCCTTCTGCTACTCTGGTATGTTTCTCACTCTGTTAGTCTAGATTGGGGTCTTGTAATTTCTTATCTCCTTTACTAGAAGCTACAGCTTTCAGTCTGAACCTTATTAAGACTGTGCCCTATTAAGAGGGCTTCCCTAAAAACAAAGATCTCGAACATAGTTCTCTATGATAAGCTCCTTCATACTCCCTCACCCCCACCGCCTGGCCCAACCCACAGGCCTCAAGGAGCCCCCTGCTACCGAGAGCCTCATCTAGCCCCTCACCTCCTGCTAGTAGCAGTGTATATGTTACACCTATTATTAATGGTAGTGGACACACGACTTTGTTTCCGGCCTCTGTGCTTTTGCTTTTGCTATTCCAAGTCCTCCTGCTCTTCCTTGTCTAAATTCCTCTCATTCAGCTCAGGCACTGTTTCCCTTCCATGGGACACCTCATCTGAGTTCTTGTAGCATCGTGTGCCTATTCCAATTGCTACAGTTTTCATATTCTAAAATTTTTGGTTTACTCTATCATTCAACAAATACTTATTGAACACTTACTATGTGCCAGACACTGTTCTAGGTGCTAAAGGATTATAGCAGGGAAAAATCAAATTCTAGATGGGTGAGGGGTGACAGGTAGCAACCAAAATAAGTAGACAAATAGTACATTAGAGGGTGATAAACGCTCTGGAGGAAGAGGACACAGAGTGATGTTGAGGAGTTGGTGCTGTTTTATACAATATTTGAGCAGAGCCATGTGGGTGGATAGAGAGGGGAGGGGAAGAACATATCCTTAGGATCTCGTAGACCTTTATGGGGAATCTTTGTTTCCTTCCTAGTGAAATGGGAAGCAAGGACACCCAAATGCTGGATGGAGAACAGCCTTCAGGTAGGTGAGGAGGAGGCCAAGAGTCCATGGCAGCAAGGAGGTATGTATTGTGACTGGCTGTGTTTTTCCACATTTCCCTCCATCCCCACTGCATGGCACAGAGTGGATGGGCAGCAAACATCTGTTAAATAATGGGGAAAGGGGCTTCCAGATTCCTTCCTTCCCAAGCACATCTGGTTTTCTGGATGACCCCACAGAAGGGGCAGTTATTATTGGTTTCTGGCCCTCTTCTCTGCTATTCAACAAGATAGCAGATCCATGTGTGGAGAAAGTCCCCTGGCTTACAGCTATCCAGGGTTGGATATTCTGCCTCGATGAGGCCCTGGCACCAGTGCACATGGCAGAGAGGGGAGGGGGATGAGAACGTGCCTCTGCTGTGGTGCATATTCAGGGAGCTGCGTGCACACTTATCATAACTTGTACCTCACCTACTGCTGATCTTATGTAACCGGAAAAATTGGTAGAACAGCATCTGGCAATTGCACTTTGGAAGAGGGCTAGGCCAGGTTGAATCAATCAGCAGCCCCTACGCCCAAGGCAAACAGGTGCATGAGCTCCTTTTGAAGACTGGATGTGAGCCCTACCCATGCCTTCCAAGACACATTCTTGCATTTTAGAATGGAACAAAATCAGACAACCCAAGGCCTAATCTGCCAAACTGGGGCTCAAAGGGAACAGAGGCCCTGATTATGCCATACCCCACATTTGAATATTGTTTTGGTCTTGTTATATAACCTTCCTAGGCAGGGATGCCAGGGCTGAGGGGTGAAGAGGAGGGTCATTAAATATGTCTCCTCTAGGCTGATGTTTATTCCAGGAGCTCCAGCCACTGGGAGAGGCTGTGTCAAAGGTACCCCTCTA